AGAAAAAGAGGAAGTAGGATATTGCTAAAAAGAAATGTTCCCACAGCTGCTAAAAGAAGGCTTTTTTACATATCTCTGGTTAATGATTCACAGTGCATTTAGTACTACTTCACTTCTACTTGCATTCTAAAGGCATTTTAGGACTTTTTTAATATGGGAAAAAGATCAGTTGTAATTAATACTGAGTCTTTAAATTATAAAAGATTCTGTGCTTCCTCTGGGTTTTTCTCCATATTAGGATGCAGAAAGAATTTAGGCTATCATGACTCTAAATACCATTGATACCAAATGTATTTTAAATCTGTTTTCTGCTGCTACCTGTACTTGCTACATTAATATAGTGAACTCAATTTTTATTTTTATTGTACCTTTCATACCACTTAATACAATTCAAAGTCCTTTACAGTTCATGTAAACAATTAGTTTTACTGACTGTTAGTGTGGTGTTAATAAACATCACCAGACATCTCTGAAGTTAAATATGTTTTAAAGAACACATACAACATGAGTTATGACTGTGAGTAGTTATATTTTATCTGACAGCCTTCAATTTATCAGTCATTTCTCAGTGTTATCAGGTTTGCAGCACACCTGCACAGCTACAGTCTGTGGTGAGACCGTTTTAAAACCCTATGAGATTATATGTAAGTGCTGGCAGTGACAGCAGCATACAGACACGCACTCACTGTGTTTCTTATGCAGGCGCTATCTGACTGGAAGTACAACCTCATGTGTGTTTTGTGGTGTACAGAAAAACATTTTGTGTGTTTCCTTTGTTCCTCGTAATAATTTGAGCAAAGCTTGCAGCCTATTGGTGCAGGAGTGACAGCAGAGAGGAGTTTCCATGGTAACCAGCACAGGATGCTTGCTGAGGTAAAGAGTTGTGTGGTTGTGAGTGCTTCCTGCACTTCTCCACAACTCATGTTCTGCTCTGGTAAGGTTTATGCTGTAACTTCAGATGGTGGGATTCCTTTAACATCATGTTCGTTCTGTCAACATTCTGATAAAATTTTGCTCTGAAATGACTTCTGGTTCTTTTGCTGCTGGTCACATTTGGCTGAACAATGAATTTCAACTAAACCAATGAGATTAGTTTTGTCTGCACACTTTCACTTTTCCCTCTTTTAGTTTGTCTCATTTGTCAAAATGTGCATGATGATTCTCCACAAAACATCAGAGAGAGACACCTAAAAATGAGAGTCCTGAACTACATCTGATCTGTCTTGGGCTATGATGTTTTTGTTAATATATTCTCTCATTTGGTGTTTTGACGATGGTGGTGGTGGTGGAGTGTGCTAACACACTGATATATGATTCATACATTTTCATGTTTATCAAACCATTCAGTGACCCCTCGTACCCTATAGATGGGGACATTGGCATGTCATTTTCATTTACATTTTTAAATGATGGTCTATTGCCTGATGGTCAACCTCTCACAAACACAGGTGGCAGAGTTTCAATGAGCAGCAAGGTGGTGACATTCAGTGTGATAACCAGACAGGCAGCTCCTAGCACCCTTTAATAAAAAAAAAAAAACACCTGCAGAAAGCAGATGAATTAATACTGCTAGACACCTGCAGGTCATGTGACTGTTTTTATGAGTTCTGGTTTGCATGCAGTTTGTTTTGGTTATACTGTATATATCGCTTATCTTGTAATGAGTTGCAGGGAGGCTGGAGCCAGTCCTAGATGACATTGGGTGAGAGGTGGGATATACACTAGACCCCTACGGGTCACTCCTGTCAGGTTGTCAGGATGGTCGAGTGGTGCATTCCAGTCACAGTCTACCCTGGGGGCCTGGGTTTGAAACCCACTTGTGACACAAAGACATTCGAATCATGGTGCCTGCAGTCCACATGTTGAAGTGTCTTTGCACAAGACATTGAACCCCATGTTGCCCCCGATGGTTAGAGCCATTCGTGCGAGTTGGTGCCACTGATATACCGGAAGCAAATTCCTTGTGTGTGTAACATACTTGGCCAGATAAAGTGATTATTATTACTCTTATAGAGGCAGACAGCCATTCACACCTACAGTCCATTTGGTCATTGCAGCAGTTTTTCAGGTGGAATTAACATATACAGTGGTGTGAAAAAGTGTTTGCCCCCTTACTGATTTCTTATCTTTTTGAATGTTTGTCACACTGTAATGTTTCAGATCGTCAAACAAATTTATATATTAGTCAAAGATAACACAAGTAAACACATCATGCAGTTTTTAAATGAAGGTTTTTATTATTAAGGGAAAACAAAATCCAAAACTATATAGCCCTGTGTGAACAAGTGTTTGCCCCCCTGTCAAAACACTGGTTTATCGCACCTGAGTTCAATTTCTCTCCACAGCATCTCAATTGGATTCAGGTCAGGACTTTGACTAGGCCACTCCAAAGTCTTCATTTTGTTTTTCTTCAGCCATTCAGAAGTGGACTTGCTGGTGTGCTTTGGATCATTGTCCTGCTGCAGAACCCAAGTTCGCTTCAGCTTGAGGTCACAAACGGATGGCCGGACATTCTCCTTCAGGATATTTTGGTACACAGCAGAATTCATGGTTCCACTTATCACAGCATGTCTTCCAGGGCCTGAAGCAGCAAAACAGCCCCAGACCATCCCACTACCACCACCATATTTTACTGTTGGTATGATGTTCTTTTTCTGAAATGCGGTGTTACTTTTACGCCACACATAATGGGACACACACCTTCCAAAAAGTTCAACTTTTGTCTCGTCTGTCCACAGAGTATTATTCCAAAAGTCTTGGGGATCATCAAGATGTTTTCTGGCAAAACTGAGACGAGCCTTTATGTTCTTTTTGCTCAGCAGTGGTTTTCGTCTTGGAACTCTGCCATGCAAACCATTTTTGCCCAGTCTCTTTCTTATGGTGGAGTCATGAACACTCAGCTTAACTGAGGCAAGTGAGGCCTGCAGTTCTTTGGATGTTGTTGTGGGGTCTTTTGTGACCTCTTGGATGAGTTGTCGCTGCGCTCTTGGGGTAATTTTGGTCGGCTGGCCACTCCTGGGAAGGTTCTCCACTGTTCCATGTTTTCGCCATTTGTGGATAATGGCTCTCACTGTGGTTCGCTGCAGTCCCAAAGCTTTAGAAATGGCTTTATAACCTTTTCCAAACTGATAGAGCTCAATTATTCTCTTTCTCATTTGTTTTTGAATTTCTTTGGATCTCGGCATGATGTCTAGCTTTTGAGGATCTTTTGGTCTACTTCACTTTGTCAGGCAGGTCCTATTTAAGTGATTTCTTGATTGCGAACAGGTGTGGCAAGAGAAATTGAACTCAGGTGCGATAAACCAGTGTTTTGACAGGGGGGCAAACACTTGTTCACACAGGGCTCTATAGTTTTGGATTTTGTTTTCCCTTAATAATAAAAACCTTCATTTAAAAACTGCATGATGTGTTTACTTGTGTTATCTTTGACTAATATATAAATTTGTTTGACGATCTGAAACATTACAGTGTGACAAACATGCAAAAAGATAAGAAATCAGTAAGGGGGCAAACACTTTTTCACACCACTGTAGTTGTTGGCAACTTATAAACTCTTATATCTACTAACAACTGCATTATACTTTGTTCAATACCATGAATTCATTATTTATATACTGCATATAAAATACTTGGGGGGGTGAAGAGTTACTGTTTTGGAATGTTTGCTGCCTACAGTACTTTGAAAGGTTTTGTGTGCTGCAGAGAGCTGGTGGGGACTTAACAGCTCTGTGAAGATCAAAACAATCAGGAAACTGTGCTTTTGCACGGTGCATTCTCACTTTGTGAACACAGCGTACGGGTTTGACAAGCAGTGTGTGTGTTTGTGTATGTGAGTGTGGGGGCCATGCCTTGCTAAATACTGCTCTGCTAACTTCCTGCTTCAGAAAAAGAGCAGCTGCAGTTTTGAGTGTGTGCTCATGTATTGTCTCTTAGGAGGACAGCGTTGATGTTAAGGCTCTGAGGGCCCGCTTCATCAACAAGGACAGCCCCTCAGACACCAGCAACCGAGGCAGCAGCTCCCCAAAACCTCCACACCCTGGGTTTGGGAGAGCGATCCTTCCAGTGACAGAGAATCTTCTGGCTCAGCACAGACTGTCTCCCACTGTTCCTCATCTTATGGCCTACCCAGGCCTGATGAAGTTACCCAAGGCAGAGCCAATGGCTGCCTCCATCCCCTCCAGACCTGCTGCCATCCCTAGGCCGCCTCCCAACCCTGGAATCAGAGCACTCGCACAGCCGTCAGATGCCAGCAAAGTCAAGCAGACTGGGGAGATGCTGCAGAGCATGATGCTGAGGCACCAGAGGCCTACAGGCACCAGGCCGGTCCTGACTCCGGTCCCAACTCCGGGTTCAGCTCCAATTCAGACCCCTGCACCAGCTCCCACATCCACCCCTCATCCTCGCCAACAGCAGCACAGACAGAGGAGCACAGGGGAAGTAAGCCCACTGAGGAGACCCTTGCCTCCTGAAGGACGCCCACCCATCAAACCAAAGCGTCCTCCGATTGTGAACCTGGAGCCCTTTATGAGGTTCAACCAAGTACCTGCCCTTCCTGTCCCGAGGAGAAGTAATGGTGAGTTTCTTTGGCTTATTATTCACTCACAAAAGTTGAATTACATATGACTCAATTAATAAATGAAGATGATCTAGACATCCCTGGTGTGCACTGGAATTTATTGTTTGTAAAAGGCTGCTTCATTTCTTTCTTTGTAGATATGATTAGCCTAGCGAAACGGTGATAGTGGCTGCTATAAGTTGAAGATTAATCAGTATAATACAAGGACAAACATGTTTATCTCCTGCCCTGTGGCTGTTCTGACATGTCACATGGGGGGAAAACACAGGTGTAAATAATAAAAGTAATTATGGGTGATTTCCATTTAGTAGCTTCAGCTCCTGGGTTCTGGTATTGTGTATGTGTATATCTTAACTTGCAACACTAGAAAAGAATGGAGTCATTAATAACACAGAGTACAAATGTAACAGAAAGAAAAACAGAAAGTAAAGCTCAGTAAAATAAAGCAAACAAGCCTTTTAAGGAAACAGTTTCAGCATATGTGTGTCTTCACTTTTTTGTTGACTGTCCTGCTGTTTTCATTGCTGGTCATTTGTCATATTTACATCCCCAGTGGATTCTTCAGGCTCCGGATGCAGAAAAATGTCTTTACCAGGAGCAATCAGTCCTCCTAAACCACCACAACGATCCAACAAACCCAGCAGGCTGCCGCGCCAGGTCACCTCAGTGTGAGTATTCACTGGTTCACATTACGTTGCTGTTATTACATACAGGAAAAAAAAAACTGCCTTTGGTCTGAATGTCATATTTTTGATAATGATAAATTCACTGGAATGCTGCAATAAAATCCGATTCTCATTTCCATCACAGCTGCTGTAGTGGCAGGCAGGAAATAACGAGAGTCATGTTCAGAATACAGACATGTAATGCGCTTTACAGAAAATAGCACAACAAGAGATTTTACTATTGTCACAATTTTGAAGATAGTACAGAAGAAATGAATATCAGTGTCAATACAATTAAGCGTTTTACACAAAAAATGAAGGCAAATGTATTTTGTTGGTTTCAGGGACACTGAAGATCACCAGGACACATATGATGACATCGGAAGCTTTGAGAAGAATGGTAAGATAAAAAAAAATTGCTGCTTGTTAATTGGTGTGTCACTGCTCTTCAGGTTCTTCTTTTCTTCTGATGCATTTAAGTAATGAAGAGTTATGGGTTATAATTTCCTATTATTATGATCATAAAGCATTTTGTGAAAGAATGTGTCACCTATCTTGTTTATGTGACTTCACAGGGTCCTGGAGTGACAACAGTTCTCAGTGTATAGAGGATGTAAGTACAGAAAACTGAAAGTGGAATTTAAATTGCTGTAAAGAGAGCGTGTGACCCACTTTAAGGATTTAAAATAAGGTGACTTCTCTTGTGAAAACATATTGCTTTCTTTGATTCTTTAATATAAGCTTTGTTTAAGAGCAGTACCCATTCATATACACTCATGTACAAACACAATTTGTTTTGCCCCGAAATAACATAAGCACATTTTTACAGTGGGTCACATTCACATCTAATCTAAGAATGCCAGTATATAAATGTTTTTATTTGTTTGTGCAAATAAATAATTTTCTTTTGCAGGACGATGATGACGTGTATGAGTATATTGATGAGTAAGTGTAAACATTCTGTGTATTTTTCTAAAAGTAGAAAGTGGCTGCAGCTGCATGAACATGAAGGAGGTTTTGATCATTACTGTTACTGCTGCTGTTAGTTTTGCTGCTGTTGTGAGCCTAATGGTTTTCTCAGTCATAGCTAAACTGAACTGTTATCTACATTTATTCCGTTACATTTATTCATTTGGAACAAGGTACCATTCAAGCCTTTGTAGATCAACAAGAAGCCTTGAATGAGTTCCTCAATTTAAAGTCACAAAAAAACAGCATGTGGGCTTTTGTGTCTTTGTGTTTGCATAAGGCTTCATTAAGTGTGCAATGCAACCTTTCTTAAATCATAACTTGTTTGTGTGATTTAACATGCATGTTTCCTGTTAAAGAGAGCTACTGTGGCAAAACACAGGAAGGGAATGTTGAAATGTGGGAAAATTAGAGCAAACTCAAAGAGTGAAAAGCTGTAAATGCTGATGTTAGTAAAGCTGTTTGTGTTGAAATAGCAGCATGGAGGAATATAGAAACCAATGCCAGTTGGTGTCTCATGTAACGCTGACAGTAGCTTAGTAGAAAAGAATTGGTGATATTTTGGTATTAATGTATTTGTCAAATTATCATGGGCAGTTAAATATACACTTTTTTGCAGAATGTTCAACAATCCATGAGAAAACAAAAAAGTTTTGGTTAGTTGTTATGTCTTAAAGGGGGACAAGTCATTTTTAATTTTGTCTTTTAATAGGGACCAGGTGGAGGTGAGCCCGGTAAAGATGAAGATAAACAAGAAAGAAGCAAAGAAGCAACGGGAGCAGGACAAAAAAGAACAGATGGAGCGTCAGAAAAAAGAGAACGAGTTGAGGAAAAACTTTCAGGTAAGGGATGTTACAATGATAAATTTATAAATAAATAATACACGTTGAAAATGTTAGGTCTATTTTAACCAGATATACTTTTTTGAAATAAGTATACATGTATCCTGAAACACTGGAGTTCCTCAAACCCACCCACTCCATCTAAATCTCATGCATTTCTGTTAATTATCCAATTTCACAGCTTTTTATATGTCCTTCTGTAGCTGGAAGGTGAAGTGGAGGTTATTCATACAGCCAGAGTTCGGCATGATTGGAATGGAGGAGGAAGACTGGAACTGAGTGTACGACAAGGCGAGAGTGTGGAGATCCTCCGAGTGAATAATAATCCAGGAGGCAAATGGTTGGTTCGCTCTCTGAAAGGATCCTGTAAGTTTCAGTTTAAACATTTCTTAGCCAGTTGTGTAGAAAACCATCCCATCAAAACTTCTCCACAGTCACACCAATAGCGAATCAACACTTTCAGCAAATTCAGTTTTCTGCATCAAGTTAACAGACACAACAGAAACCTTTGCTGATGTGAAGCTTAGACAAAGTTTCTGTCTAAAATGTTGGTTGTTGTTGTTTTCTGCTTTTCAAATGTGAAAACTAAGTTATTATCAATATTTTAATAGGTGACTAGCAAGCCTGAGGACTTCATGTCCTGGATAGTTTACTGTTAATATCAAGCAGCAATTTGTATGTTGAGTTTCTAAGTGGAAATTACAAAATATTTTGTAAATTTGCATAGTTTTGGTGGAAAGGTATGCATAGCAAGAAATGTAAACAGTTGCTTTTTAAATAGGCCTATGACTTGATGTTGCCGTAGTTGCTTTTCTAAATACTGTGCTATGGCAAGACTACAACGTTTCTGGCTGACTCTTGCTTAAATCATCCTTAAGTAAATTGTACATTATATAACCAAATATAGAATAAATAGTAGACAGGTTGAAGACCAGCATTAGGATTAGTAGCATTTTCTCCAGTTGCCTCTACTCATGGTAATGTCAGTCAGTCCTGGATAAGTCTGTTTGTCTGTGTGATAGATCTTCTTTGTTGTTCAAAAATGATTAAAAACACATCAAGGAATCATACCGCTGCACTGGGTGACACGTTTTCATAACAAAACACCAGACCAGACCGAATTGTCCCAAAAGGCTCCATGCAGCCACAAATTCCTGAAGTTAGCATGAGTCAGACTCAACTGCACATGCACAAATCTTGCGTGAGCTCTCTGCCTTGTTTACATTATGCTAGCTACTCATGTTTGGGTTTCACTGATGTGTTTTTATCCTTTTTGAACAACAACGGAGGTCTATGGCACAAGAAAGCAAACTAATCCAGGACTGCAAGACTGACAGAAATTAGCCAAGAGTAAAGGCAATTCACTGTCCATCTTATTTTCTTTAAGGGGAATGTTCAAAATATTATACATATAGAAAATGACCAGCCTTTTTCTTTAACAGATGAAAACTTAACTTCTTGATCATGTCTTTGACTCAAATGTTGATTCTTTTGCCTAGTAAATTTCCAACATATCCAACATAAAAAATATTTTTATAATAATAAAAATAATAATCTCAATTAAGATAATATGCTATGAGATATTTCAAGAAAATGCTATGAGATATTTCATGTCTATTTAATTTAGAGCTAAGAACTGTGGGCTAAAATAACTAAATATGAAAAAATAAGCAAATAATTGCCCAGCAATAATAATAATAACTACCATTCTTTTTAGATGTGTCCTAATAACATCCTAAAAGAGCCAAAGTACATCAACATGTCACTCTGTCATCTTGTAGATGGATACATCAGTAATGCGTGTGTGGATATTGACTATGAGGCAGTAAAGCGCAAAGTGCTCCAGCCAAGAGTAACAGACACATCACCGCTACCTCCACCACCTCCAGACCCTCCAAAGATGTTAAATCTAAACTCCAATAACAGAGACAGGTACATTAAATCGTTTTTTATTATACTGCAAGACAAATGGCACATTCCTCAGCCAACTTTTCCAAAGCTTTTAAAGTCATATCCAGTCTATCACTGATTTGCTACTCCTTAACTCCTCCTGAAAATGGCCTAATTGTTTGGTTCCAATGTCTTTTTTTTAATTATTTTCACCTGCATCTATTCCAACTAACATATTGTTTGTTTCCTCTAATCTGCATCTGCAGCATGCCTCAAGATGACGGTAAGTAACAACAAAGCTTACATTAGCATGATTAGCAGACTGGAATAAATACTGTTTAAAATCTCCAGGCCTTGCATTATTTGTTATTTATTGCTCTACTGTAAATAAATAGCATCAACTGCAATTTAAAGAATTTACAATAAAATATGTTTTGCTAAAGCTGAATCTGATTGACTGCTTGAAGAATGAGGAAGATAACCGACTGTACTTGATCCCAAACCTTTCCTGAATATTTCCATAGAACAGGCTTGATAGCTAGCTCGTATTGTGGGTTGTGCTTGTTTCATTATTTGTAACTAACTAGCACCAGTGGTAAATGTTTTGAACTTCTATTGTTTGATTGTATCAATAGGTTTGTGTATATGATTACTTAGAAGACAGGCTCATTTTACTTTTTGTTTTATTGTGTTTTCTTTGGTCCTTAGATGATTATGATGATGTTCAAACAATAATTGAGGATTTCCCCCCACCACCTCCTGAAATCAAGTGTGTATTCACATCTGCTTCACTCAAATGGAGTAGGAAATGACTGGTTGACTGCAGTATCACTGTGCAATGCAAACAAAATGCCCATCTTATAAAGATCTGATAAGTATTGAAATCTTGTGAAGTGATGCTCAAATACAGAAACAGAATTGGTTTAACTGTAATTTATTTTAGCAGTTAATTACATTTGTATGCTACATGATTGTTTTATGTATTTGATTATTGAACTCTGAAATCACACTGTGAAACTGTCTTCATTTTCAGCATAGATCCCAAAATGGAGAAGGAACTAAGAAAAAAATTTAAGGTAAATTTTTCTCACTTTCACGCAGATTGTTTGGTTTAAGTGACAGATAAAGCATTGTCACTGGCATAGCAGTGAAAGAAAGTTCACTCCTGAAGTACTCGGTGCACAAATGAGGCCCAGAATTAATCCCTGAGGAACACCACAAATAGCCCAAAATGATTACATAATGCCTATAAAATAAACAGGCCACAGTGCTGCAGCCTCAGGACAATTGCACAAATTTAGAAAATGCCAAAAATGGATCATTATGACTGTTGTTTACTAGTATGAAGGGCCGCTCAGGTCGCTGCACACTATGATGGTGGATCCTAATGCAATTATAAAGAAACCAAGTGGAAAAGATCTACGTGTGTGTCCGGGAGAGGTCCTCGATATCATCCAGCTCACCAGCAAGAAGAAAGCTCTATGCCGCAACCAGTTAGGAAAATGTATGTAAACACTGCATCTCTCAGTGATTAAATGTTATTTTAATCTGCAACACATACACACATAATTTGAGTTACACAGCACTCAGAGAGCACAAACCTCCACCAAGGCAGCTCAGTTTCCCTATAATACCAATCAGTCTAAAAGCAATATTTCCATTATAGTTTGACCATGATAACACGATTACTTCACCATGAAACTACCCTTAGCATGTGGAACCACATTGATATCATTAGTTTGAAAGCTATTTAATTATTAAATAAAGTGATTGTTTTATATTAAAGTTTGTTTTGTCTCATCTCACACAGATGGTTATGTGTCCAGATCTCTTCTTCTTCAAATGTAAGTGAATCCTGCTCAGTTCATATTGTATCTGACTCTGCCACCAAGTTAGCGTCTTCGTACTGTAAATAAATAATAAAATTACTTTTTTGTAAGCCTAAATATGAGTGATTGTTATGGTCATCTTGACAGATTTTTTTATTAAGATTTTTATTGTTGTTTTTAACAGTGATAAATTAAATAAATTTAATACATTTATAAAAAATAACTATGAATGAGATACTTCATGAATTTAGGGTATTGCTACATCTGTGCTACATTTGTACATACAGTATGTACAAAAATTTACACATTATATGTCCTGGGTGCACCCATTTTAAATGTAAACATACATTTTAGTACTCATCTACAATCACACAAAGTTGTAAATCCATATTTAACTTCATGTACTAAAGTCTCTGTTTATATTTTGCATAAAAATATTAAAAGAAATACCTTTTCTGCAGTCAGTTTAACATTAGTCTTTCATTGCAGGGAAGGAGACATCTATGACGATGTTGACTATCCAGGTGGGGAATTTACTTTGGAGCATTGTGTTCTATGTAAAAAAATAAAATGCCATGCAAACTGTGCTAATATAATTTGAAATTTTAAAGGTTATTGTGGTTGTTCAACTTTTGATGTAATTTTAGGGAACTATATATATTACATATTCTTTCTCATTTGGAATTTCCCGTTTTTTTCAGATGTCTACGACAATGACTCTTCCCACACTGATTATTAAAACCTGTCAAACTATACACACAGACACACTCTTCAAGCGTAAGAGCGAGAAAGACACAGAGAAACAACTAAACTATCTATACAAAAACAAAAATTTTAAGCAACATAAAACTATAAATTTATAAAACTGGATATCAAAACAGAAGATATAGAGAAAATGGAGCTGTATCCAAAGGCTTAATTTGAATCCACAGTTGTATTTGTCCTGCTCTCACACAAACAAACTAACTAACTAAAACTATGAATAAAACTATATGACTATATAAAGCTGTACAAAACTGATCCATGTGGACACACACACATCCTATGCTGAGAATAACTAACATCATTTCATGTTTGTCAAACTGTTTATATAAAAACTGTATTACACTATAACTGTAGCTTTGTGTATTGCCTCTGAGATAATTTAAAATAAATAAAATATTTTTCAGATATTCTTCACAGTTTGAATTATTTTCTTGTTTTATTTGTTATATAAAAAAAGCTTCACCTGGGGAATGTAATAAAGCAGGAGGAGAACCAAGGACTATTTGCATATGGCACCCTATATGAGGCAGAAGAACTGAAGCAAAAAAGAAACACAATAGTTGGGGCCTCAAAATCAGTACAACTCTAAGAAACCTTGAAATCAGTTATGAAATAAGTTAAGCAAACAGTTTATTAGATGTAGGACAAACTGTAAGATTGACTACAAACTGACATGTTAAAATTTGTTTGGAAAAAATGTGAACAGTAACTCTGAACGTGCATGTACGCTGTAGGTGCACAGCAGCGAGCTAAAAGCACTTCCAGTAAAGATTTAAAATGGCAGTTGGTCTCCAAGGTTTTTACTGGAAGCAGCTGTGAAACTATGAAAACAGTGACTGGCAATAAATCTTGTGATAGTGATTGCAAATCGGAAAAGGATTAGATGAGTCCAAATCATGTTCACTCATAGGGAATCGTCAATGAAAGAGTCAAAATATTTGCAATTTTAGGATTAAATCAGAAACGTGTGTAAATAAATGATCATTTGATATTTTTAATTCCTAGCAGGGTAGTTTCACATAATAACACAACCTCCAGGCAGGAAAACTGTGAAGTTAAAAAAGCCAAGTGATGTTTCACAACTTTTTGTTTGTATTCAAAATAGCTTTATAAAAGAAATATTAACGTTATGTATGTGGTTTATGTCCTACAACCTCATCAGTCATTAATTTCTATAGTACTTTTATCTTATTGACTAAAATAGCTACATATCAGTAGCCTACATCCGCCTGTATTCTTCAAACAGACATTACGTTGCCCAGACCGAAGAGGGCAGCAGTACACCATTGTCGTGTCGAATCTGCAAGAACGCAAAGAAGAAGCTCTGTTCACTCGGTGATCGTTGACTTTAGTCTGTTCGAGATACTTCCTGTGTCAAAGTCCAGCTGAGTGCTGGTACAGTGATAACCTGGTGATAGCAGTTAAAACTGGAGATGTTTTGCAGAATCTTCACTCATCAGTGCTTGTTTAAATGACGGTGTTGTGAGTGTGTGTGAGCTGCACACCAACATGGAGCAGTCTGTGGAGTCTCTGGTCCGACTGCTCGAGTCCTACAGAGGAAGAGATAAAGTTGTAAGTATTCATAGTGCTGTAAAGTATACACCCAGTGCAATGACTTATTGATCAAATTCTTTTATAAGGTACATTTCATATCCACAAATCTAAATTGGCCAAGAATCTCCCATCTTTTGAATGAATTGTCATCGAATTACAAAACTACTGTATATTGAATCTGTCAAACATAAGAAATGCCAACAAACCTTTATTTAAACCATTTATATTAAACAAACCAGTTTTTTAACTGCAACCTCATTGCCTTTACACCTTTAAGATATTCTTAATGTGTATTATATATTGTATGTTTGCCTTTTTTGGTTCAGTTTAATTATTTATCTACTTTGTTTGATTTTTTTTTCTTTCTGCCCACTTTAGTCTCACTTTTGTAACAAAGTGACATACCCTTGTATTCTATTTATTAATATTTATTGTTATGGATGGCTGCAGATAATTATTTATGTTAAATTGTTTCCAAATAAAAAGTTATAAAGGTTCTCATCTCTCCTCCATGGGGAACAACACCAGAGGCTCAAAACACCAGTTGGTGATAGATAAAGCAGTCACCAACAACTTAAGATCCAGACAGACTAACCTGAGTACAGCCTGGATCAACTACAGGAAGTTAATCAACTCACTGATCCACCTGACACAGATCTTCAGTGAGGACATTGGGATGTCTTTTGGACTGGAGAAATGTGGCTGGATGATACTAAGAAGAGGGAATGTGGTAAAGACTGATGGGTTAGAACTACCAGGGGGCCACATAGCAGACATACAGACCTGCCTACAAGTACCTTGGTATCCCACAGTCACATGGGAACCACAATGGGTAAGGCAAGAAAGACAAAAACGTGCAGGTACCATCAAAAGATAAGACGGGCCCTGACACATGCACCCTGCCAGTCATCAGATGCCCTGCTGACATAGTGAGCTGGCCAAAGCAGGACGTGGAGGCTACTGATGTGAAGCCCTGGAAACTCCTCACAATGCATATGTCATCACTGTTACACTGCTTAAGAGTATACTCACATAGACAGCGCACAAGGTCATTTTTATTTTACCTCCATGGTAAATATACAAAGAAAGGACCAGTATTTTTTCTCTGTGTTTGTCTTTTCAGATCAGGACGGTCTGTTATGGCTCCCAGCTCATTGGAGGATTTCTTTCTCGTAAGGCAGAAGCAGACGTTGCATCCCACCGGCTCGGGAAAAGTCTGCTGTTGTTTTCTGCTCAGCTAAGCCAGTGCAGGACGGTACTCAGGCTCTTTGATGACCTCTCCATGCTGGCTTACTCCCATGGCTATGGTCTTGGAGCTGGGGTGAGCCACACAACGGCAGGGAGAGAGGGGTTCACGTGACTGGTTTATTTCATCAGACTTTATACTCTGTGGTAAAGGTATATCAGCTAATACATGGGAAAGATAAATATGAAAACCTCTTCATCTTAAAGAAAAAAACGCTGGTTATATTGTTAGCATTCCACAGCAGTTCACATGAAGCTTTGACATTGGTTCTGTTTGCTAAGACTCACAGGATACATTGGTGCTTAATGGCAGGGTCCTCAAATTAATTATGTTATTTGTGAAAACAATTCAGACCTTAAATGTGGTGGTATTTTATTTGTAAGTAACCATTTAGGCTACAATATTAAGCATAAAATGATGTATTACCAGAGTGAAGCTAATTTTCATCCATAGGCCACAGATGCATAAATACAGTTTTACTGTGCTTTGGTGTTTCTCTCTTAAATTCAGCATGAATGCATTTTGCATGTCTTTTAAAGGAGGAGGATGCAGGTGTGCGTTGGATATCAGTGCTGACCAACGTGGCCGACCAGCTCTACTACCCCTGTGAACACATCGCGTGGGCCGCTGACGCTGAGCTTATCAGAGTGGAGTCTGGTAAATGGTGGCTGTTCAGCACAGTGCTGTGGGGAACCTCACTGCTGCTGGGAATATTCAGGTGAGGTTATATATAGCTTATTTATATAATAGTTGTATTAGTATGAAGCTGTGAATCCTGTTTTGCAGGTCGCTTCGAGTTCTGCTGCTGCTGAAAAAAAAGCTTAAGAGATGTGGAGGAGACACAGTTGGACACAGGTGTTGTTTCTGCAGTCTTATTCCAAATATTTCTTTCATATTCCTACTATATTCTCTCCAGTTAATATAAGACAGGCTTCTTAACTGAGACAGTTTCTTCTTGTCTAAAGTCACAGTGATAAAATCAGTGTTGTTTATTTTTCCTGCAGTCGCTCTTGGCTCCGCAGACAGATGCAGGGGGAGGTTCTGTCCATCTTCAGCAGCATGGCTGACCTCAGTAACGCCATTCACTGGATGCCTCCTGGCTTCTTGTGGGCGGGCCGATTCCCCAACTGGCTGGTTGGACTGATGGGCACCGTCTCATCTCTGATTGGTTTGATCCAGATGAATGCCTGTGACAGTGACCAGTCAGACAGTATGTATTCTTCACCTCACAGTGAGGCATAGACAAGATGCTTTCATGGCAAATGTACAGTATATTGGTGGTAAAGATGAAAGGATTCATCTGTAATATGATCTGACTCCAGTCAGATAGTCTGTGGAGTTTAATTGCAGCCTTGTAGTGAATATAATGTCCAAAAATATAAAATCATCTAGACCTATAGCTGCATAGTAATGAATAAACTTAATTGACTTCCACGTGACTCGGATGTGACCTACTCTTATAAAAGTTCCACTGGATGTTGACATTTGAGTCAATCATCACACAATGAGAGGCAAGATTAGATGAGATTAATGAATCAGATGTTCTTTTGTTTGGCTCCTATTTCTCATCTTTCAGCTTCAGCATTGTAATCAGACAAATTTATTTACACTTGATGAGTCACTACATGCAAATAAAAGTATTAAATTTGTATACAGTGCAGGAGGTTTTTAGAAAGCAGGATTTAGGTCCTACTGTACATGACAATAAAATGTAAATTACCTTACCCACACCTTTTTATTCTCCAATAGTGTTTTAGTGCAGCCACGATTGTAAATACAACAACTTTGGCTTGGACAATAGCTCTTTTGCCTGAGTGCAAGACTTCATATAGGTTGTATCCTAGTTTGTTAATATGTAAAGCGGTCCAAGACTGCACCCTGCTACTGGCAGAACAGAGTTCATTTTTGCACCAACCACTGTGTTTAACGTAAGAGCAGAGAAGATGCACAATGATACTGTCTCAGTCAATCACATCAGAACGTCAATGCACAATAATGATTGTGGATAGAAATTGCAGCTGTATGGTTATTCCTAGGGGAACACTATGACAGTATGTAAGGTTAATCAGTTGTTGCCTTATTAACATACTTTATATACTGATTTTAAAAATTGCATTGACTTATACAGTAAGTCAACCTTTGGATTTATTGCTATGCCTTGTTAGGGTTGTGATGACTGGACTGCTCAGATTTCTCAACTGAAAATAATATTTCTGTCATGTAATGTTTAAAGATCATCTCAGTGTTTGTTTAAAACATATAATGTCCTCAGGCATTGAAGTTGCTAACTGCATTAAGGTTGACCGCGAGAATGTCAAATTTGCATTAAAGAATCACTAGAAAATAGGCAGCAGATAGGCCTAAATGTGAACATTTTAAAATAAACTTGATTTGACTTCTTTCTGGATCCATTTATTGGCGTTTGATTGAGCGCGACTTATGACGTGTGCGAATGTTGTCTTCAAATGCTTACGGACATATTACATTTGAAAGCAAAGTGTCTTGGGCGCAAAAATAATAATTAAAAAACTAAAATAAGCAAAACAAACAAACAAAAAAACTCTTTTGGTCCCAAATTGAAATGTGCCAGTTATTGTGTGTGTGCTTGTATGCGTGAATGGGTGAATGGGAAATTTGTGTAAAGCATTTAGAGTGCGCTTCAATATGTAGAAAGGCGCTCTAGGTATATGACCCATTATGGAATTAGAGGTGCTCAATTCAAATATGACCTTTCCTTTGTAAGCTATAGAATACATAGGATGTCTATGAAAAAAAGTCAACTAGCTTTCGAGGGGCGACAGTGGTGCAGTGGGTAGAGCAGCTGTCTCCCAACCGGAAGGTTGAAGGTTTGAATCTCGGTGCCTGCAGTCCACATGTCGAAGTGTCCTTGGGCAAGACACTGAACCCCCCCACCCCAAGCTGCCCGTCATGACCGCGCGCACCAGCGGCCCGGCTGAACTTGGCTCCAAACACGTTGTACGTGTCACAATGTTACAATGACAATAAAATAAAGCTTCTTCTAGCCTTAATGACAATTTCTTCTCATGCTCAGAGATCTTTCTATCTGTAATTTAACAAAGTAAACAAAATTCACACATTGCCAGCGCCATATCTTACAAACCAGAGCCCATAAACCATTTTAGATAGCCTACCATTTTCGTTTTCAGTGGCTCAGAATTTGCAGATTGATTATTTTTGTTTTGGGAAGTTACGGGAGTACGTGAACACAGCACAACTACAGAGTGAATAAGTAAAAGCTGTTGAGTCGAGAACAACAACAGTAGCAGCAATAATGACAGAGAAGTCCTGTTTAATATGGTAGCATTTGTAAAACTTGTGGATCATGTGAAAATATTATGTTGAACAGTGCTGTTGTTGTTAGTATGACGCATATAACAAAACCAAAGTTTTGGAAAAGGCTCAAATATCAAAGCACGTCAACTTGTCTGTCGTGGCACCCAGAGGAGTTTCTGTCTCTAAACAAAGAAGCAGAGAAAGGCCGAAAACATCAGGTGAGAGCGATTGTTCTCGCAATTTAAACCGATATGCTTTAATATAGAAATAGAATGTTTTGTCAATTGACTCCTGTTGTTTACTGCGGTTTTAATTAGTTACGTATTAGCTTTTAGCTACCTGTACAGCTAAGTGTAGTCCGTTCCGTTTGGAATTTCAAGCTCTTTTGGTGTGTTTTTGCTTTACATTAGCATTAACACTAGTTTTTTGTACTACCCGAGCTGTAGTCCGTTAGCTCCTAACGTTATGTGTCAATTAACATTTCGCTTAACTGTTTAGTTACGTGTTGTATATAGTAGCTAGCTAGTTATGACAGCCTTTAATACAAAAAGAGCAGCCTAAAGCTCAAAGTACAAAGGACAATATTTACAGTATGTATAACCATCAAAAGGCCACCAGAGAACACTATGCCTGAAACGCCTGTTATCTATAAAAAAAATCTTAATTCCTCTCTTTCAGTTCACATTCCATCTTTATCGATATTGCCAAAAATCAACTGCCTGGAGAAGCAGACAGCTTGGTAATTAGCTAGCATTAGATGACAAGACTGGGGAGTAGATTCTAGGGGAAGTTAAAACTGTTTTGCTGTATATCCCCTTACCTAAATCCAAACCTAACCTTCACCTTAACCTCTACTGATACTTAACCTAGCCCCAGTCTAACCCTGGGTTAGCAGTTACTTCTGCCTGTTCCCGAATCTTGAGATATACCCATGGTAATACTGTTACAATGTGCTGAAGTGCAAACCAAGCTTCATTCAAAAACCTTAAATTTTACAGTGCATTCTTTATTGATGAACGTCGTAAGACATTGCAACAATATTCAACAATAATCTTACAAACCAGGCAGATGTTCTGGTAAGTTCGTCAAATAAATGATCCACAAAGCATCATATAAAACAAACATAATCACCGTTTTGGTAAGCCTACCTGTTCACACCACTGTTAAGACGCACTAATAGGCAGCTGTAACGAGCTCAGAGAAGAAAATAACCAAAACATCATTCCTTGAATCAATTCAGTGAATGCAACGTTAACGAATTAAAAATCGTCGAAATCGGTTAAGTTAATGGTCATGGTGGAATGAGGACAACAGGGTGTATGATTGTATGTCAGATAATGCAGATGCAGCTGGCTCTATTAGCACTAAAGGTGTACTGGGACACACTCTAATACTGCAGCAACTCTTATTTACATGAGTATTACAACTTTTTGACGTTTAATTACAGTGACTAACAGGTAGTTGGAAACCATGTGAACCAAATCCATGATAAATCTGTTACATTGTGACCTTAACCAGGAATCAGCACACTAATGACAGTTAATCTCTGACAGGCTTTCTCACAAAATGGACTCAGATGTCAGCCCTGCTGATCGAACAGCCTCTACACCGGCAGATGCCCAGTTTTCTGACCCTGTTCTTGTTGATGGAGTCTCTGAGGTTGAGGTCAGCAGATGTAATGTGGCAGCTTCGCCAGGATCAGATGTGAAGGATATGGACTCCTACAACATGTTCGAGCCTCCGCCATTAGACTGGAGGTCTGACTCATCCAGTGCGGCAGGCTCAGCAGATGAGCTGGATCACCTTGGCTTCTTTCCCTCTGCCGACAGCCTGGACAAAGTGAGTCCAGATGAGCCAGAATTGCCACCTTTGGACAGGAGTGACACAGTGACTCAACTTCACATAGACCAGCAGGAGCTGTTGCAAAATAATGCCAAGCCAGTCCAGGGGGCTGAAGTCGAGGTAGAAGAAGGGGATGCAGCAGTTGATATGGAGGAGAGGTTTGAAGACTTAGAGGCAGGCCAGAAAAAGGTAGCATTTAGGGAAGTCGAGAATATTGTCACTGAAGAGGAGGTTGCTCACAGAAGATCAGGGGATGAAGACCACAGCTGCATCCACACCCTGCTCAGCCAGCTTCAGCTGATGGGAGAAGAGTCTTATCCCAGTCATCAGACACCACCTCATCATCAGTACTCCGGCCTGTCTGAAGCATGTGCCTCCTCCCTAACCACAGACAACAGCACTGAAACTACAGGACTACTTTTTGCTGAAAGGCATCAGGGAGACCTGCTGGGACTGCTCCAGTGCACAGAGATTGGTACTACACTGCATCCCACCTGTCTGCCACACAGAGGGGAGGTGGATGCGGTAGTGTCAACTTCCTACAGTCAAGAGGATGCTCAGAGGTTCTGGGGGCATCATGGGAATGGTCAGCATTGGCGGCACAGGGATTTGTCCCTCACTTCCCTGCCCGATGATGAGTATCCAGAGCCAGTGTGGATGAAGCTGGGTGAGGAGCCTCCAGAGGAGGAAGCTGGTGCAGAGAGCAAGCAGGTAGGGTGAGGTACTATCGCTTTTCAGTTAACATGATGAACTGTAGACTTTGGAGTATCAGTGTGTAAACTCATTAATTTTTAAACTGTTTAGTTAAAAACTGTCTACAAAAAAAATTGATTTAAAATATAGTAGATTGACTGCATCTGTCTATCTGCTGACACATCGACGTTTGGCCAATGATAACATTTAATTGTTACCTGTAACTTTTGTTATGACTGAAGCTGACAAATATTTCCAGGGTGATTATGAGTTGTGTTTCTGTTTAAGTATACAAAATGTCAAATTAAATCAAAATTTATAACAGATGACACTCACAGCTCATCAGAGCCCACTGTTTTCTCTCAGTCTGATAAGAATCCAAAAATGGTATAAAACAGTGAAAAGCAAGATGGCTTCCTTCCTTTGTTTGTGATGCTTTAACCAGTGTTTGGTCTTTTTAAGCTGCTAAGTAACTAGAATGATCATTGACTTTTATACCTTGTACAACTCAGACTTAGCCGTTTTAATTTAAAATAAACGTGTCTCTTTGCTGTCATTGCAGAACACTGATGACCATCCTTCATATAAAGATGGTGAGTGCTTCACTACACTTATTTTGTCTTGAAGAAATTCAGCAAAATTATGTCAAATATCATAATAAAAAATGAGGCAAAGCCATTTAATGTTAATATTTGCCACTTTTTAGTGCCTGGTCCGTGTGACCCCGAAGACCTGCTGGATGGAGTAATATTTGGTGCAAAGTACCTGGGCTCCACTCAGATCAAATCAGAGAGGAATCCACCTACGAACATTCGCATGGCCCAGGCTCAGGAGGCTGTGGACAGAATAAAGGTAAACTAACGTAAGAGATGCACTAAAAGATGCTCACAGTGGACACTGTTTGAAACAGAAGCGATGACTCTGCACACCTGCTTCGACTGTGACACCAGGAGTTATTGTGTTACTTCACTTGATAATGTATTTCTGTTGTTGTTTTTATCATGACCACACTAACTTGAATGTCATCAATTGATATACTCATAAACATTGACTTGTACTGGTACTGTATAATAAATGTGGCTGTTTCCTTCAGGCTCCAGAGGGAGAGTCGCAGCCGATGACTGAGGTGGATCTGTTCATCTCCACACAGCGAATCAAAGTGCTGACTGCTGACACACAGGTATGTTTAGCTGGCCGCTCATAAGAAGTCATGTTTTAACCCCATAGTTTTTAATTGTTTTCCTTTTGTTCCAGATTTTGAATTTTCTCATAGCACTAGAAGATTTGCTTTAAATTAGAAAATGTTTTAGTAATTTTAGTAGTGTCATTACAACCACTTCAAAAGGAAGGCAACTTTATTTATATAGCTCATTTCATACACAAAGGCAATTCAAAGTGCTTGGAGGAGTTGAGAAGCATTTAATTGTCCCTACTTGCTAATTAAATCCAGGGTTTGACATGTATTAGTGAGCTTTTATTTTATATGGCAGTGCCACACTGAGCAGGAATAGTAGTCTGTTTTTCTCCCCTGTGTGGTTCAATTGTCAGGAGAGTAAAAGGAGGTCATTTACTGTCAGCTCACTCCTGTTGCACCTCACTGCACTATACTTAACAAAAATAATCACAGCTTATTGGTGATTATTTCTTTTCTTAATTTTACCATTTGAGCCACACAGTTAAATTTGCAAGAAATGACATAAATCACATAATCCTTTTTACAGAGTACATGTTTTTCTTCTATTCTGTCCTCACAGCTCATTAGTCCAGTGTTTTTGGCAGCTTACCATTGTACATCTCAGCAAGAAGAGTTTTGGAAATGGCCTCTCTATTTGAAAGTACCAGGCATAATAACAGGACTGACAAAAAGAGAAAACATAAAGCGGGATGATGTTCTTTGTGATATATTAGCTATTTAAGGAAGGTCTCTGCAAGTTTCATTTTCTAAAATGATTAACCCTCTAGTGTCGTGTTGACACTCAGGAAGCCATGATGGATCACGCTCTGCAGATGATCTCCTACATTGCTGACATCGACAACATTGTGGTCCTGATGGCACGAAGGAAACTCAGAAGGCAGGATGGTGACTCCTCTGCTAACTCTTCATCTTCCACAAAGAAGAAGTGCTTGATGATCTGCCACGTCTTCTCCTCTGAAGATGTGAGTCCATTGAAAGGTCTTATACCAGCATGACATGTTTTTTCTTTTAGAACAGAAATGTTTTGGTGTTTTCTGGGCTCCAACAGCTGCTGGGCTTTGAGAATAAAAATTGTTTCTGTCTTTGCTTTTACATATGACCTCAACTTCAGTTGACTTGTTAATTTGTAGCCTTGTACATTTAGTTACAGACATTGTGATAGTTAGACATCTGATAGTTCAAGGCAATATTAAGGTGTCTCTTCCTCTGCACAATGTTGCATCTTGGATCAGATGTGTTGCTTTCTCCCAGACAACAGTTTCAGCTTGAGCTTGGCCTGGTTTCCTTCCCCCAGACAGGCAACGAGTTCTCCTGAATGTAAAAATGGTCTGGCTGTTGTCCCAGTTTCCCACTGTTGGCAGGACTGAATAGGAGGAGAAAGAGTTTCTTTTAGAAACTAATTAGCTGCAGGATCATGAATACCATGAAACCACTGCTTCTACTGCTCATTTTCCCCAGAGTAACTAATATAATATGAAAGGTTTTATTGTGAAATGAGGCTTACAATGGGTTGGAGCAAATGAGAAGGAGAATGTAGCAAGTAAGTGAAATATAGATAATTTTTATAGGTAAATGGGGAACACTTTGGGATTTGATGCTGTATAGGTTTTGCAATTTATTTGCTTTAATTTGTTCATATGAAAACAGTGAGTAATAGAGGGCAGGACAAATATTTATATTCCCTTTAAAATTTTCTGTTCAGATGTTAGTCTTCCAGTAGACTTAACTGTAACTAAAATGAGTCCTTTTTCTTTCCTCCTTCTTGTCTTTCCATTCAGGCTCAGATCATAGCTCAGGCTATTGGTCAGGCATTCGGTGTGGCCTACCAGCAGTTTCTTCAGACCAATGGCATCAAAGCCAGCAATCTTGGGCCAGGCGAGTACAGTGACTACCTGGAAAATCAGGAGCTCTACAATGGAGACCTGGCCCACTTCTCTGACTCTCAGAACCTCAGAGATGTAAGCAAAAGTATTGTGGTTGCAGATCTTACACTACAGATGTATAGTAATCTCTGGATGGTAGTGGGGATAAGTTCCCATTCAGTTGCAGAAGATGGGCTTTAACAAGATGTCTAGTATTCACTATTTGACAGTATATATGAGAGAATAATGAAATAATAATCATTGATATTCATCTTAGATTATTCAAGATTTCCTTAAAATCATGTGTCAACATTTCTCTTCTAAATTTAATGTAACTGCCATCTTTAAACTGACACAAAGACTTCCTCCCCATAGATTTTAGAGGTGGCTCCAAAACTACAGACTAGTCTTGCATAAAAATTCACTTCTCCACTGTCAATCCATCTGGTCATTATGTTTTTGTTCATATTTTAATAATAAGGGGGTGAACAGTTATACATTATGTTCATAAGCATAAGGTCACGTTTCTCAACTACACTTGATTCCAAAGCACACAAACGAGTATAAGAACATGTTGTGCACAAGTGAAGGAGGTATGACACTTACAAGGGTCATGCAGTATGTGAAAAATGTACTTTCTGACTGCACATGCTGTAAACGCCTACAAGTTTGTAAATGCAGATACCTGATGCAGTAGCATGTACACTGTACTGTAGAAACACGTGCACGTCTATTACCCATGCCACTGTTTGCATCGACTTTTGCTTTGACGGCTTTAATTCCTTAATCATGTCAAACAGTGGATCTAAGTATTAACACAGGGTTTCACAGAGAAAAATGACTGAGTAATAATACAAATGTCCTTATGTGCATATTACAGCTTCATGTTGTATGTGCTCTCTTGCTCTAACCAGAATTATGTCTGTCTCTGGTTCAGGTAGTCATTACCAAGGCTCCTGGAGAGATCTTGGGGCTGGCGGTGGTGGAGTCAGGCTGGGGCTCCATCCTGCCTACTGTGGTAGTGGCCAACCTCCTTCACGGAGGCCCTGCTGAGCGCTGCGGAGAACTAAGCATCGGTGACCGCATCATGTCCGTCAACAGCACCAGCCTGGTGGGTCTGCCGATCGCCACCTGCCAGAGCATTATCCGGGTAAGAAGGGAAGACTCATGGTGAAAATATCAACCATAATATTAACAACAATAGTAAAATTGTTTGATTTTATGCTTGAATGTGAATTTCTCAAGTGGTTTCACTGTGCATTCAAATGAGCTTGATTGTGTACCGTCTTTGGATGCTTTAGATGGCACTGTGTTTCCATGCAGTGTGGCAGTCTATCAGTATTGATTTGATAGTGGATTCTAGAGCTGAAATAATTTGTCTCTTGATAGAAAAGTAATCGCATATTTTGATAATCGATTAATTGTTAAATAATTTTACATGCAATACTAAATATTTTCAAATGTACCATTTGGCTGCTTTTCTTGGTCAACATGTTTGTACCGTAATTTCCAGACTATAAGCCGCACCCACTAAATGTTAGATGAAAAAAACATTTTGTACACATTGTAACATGAGATATTTCGACAGCCAGATCGATCGCCTGTAACTTGAAAGCTGCATCATATGCATTTCGTCGCGTGTTGTCCATGATGAGGGTGTGGGCATGAAGCGACAAAAGTAGCGGCTTATAGTCCAGAAAGTACGGTACCCGTGTTTGGGTTTTTGAGTGAACAAAACAGACCACAGATTTGTAGGGATTACTGATGTGTAATGACAGTCATGTTTAGAGATTGAAGAACAGTCTTTGAAACATTTACTTGACGTGGACCCAACATCATGAATTCCCAGCATCATGACTAGGAGCAGTACAGGCAGCACAGCAAGAAGCTTCCAGGTTCAAACCTGGGTTTTCCCTGGATAATCCTCCTTAATTAATGTTCTTCCTCTGCCTATGTGGGTTCTCTCCGGGTACTCTGGCTTCCTCCCACAGTCCAAAAGACATGCAGTTTAGGTTGATTGGTGACTCTAAATTGCCTGTAGGAGTGAATGTGAGTGTGTGTGATTGTTTGTCTACATGTCACCCCTATGATAGATTGGTGACCTGTCCAGGGTGTACCTCTGTCTCTTGCCCAATGTCAGCTGGGATTGGCTCAACGCCCCCACTACCCTATTCAAGAATACTCGGTATAGATATTAGATGGATGAATTGCCCAGCAATCAGTTTATATTGTGAAGCATGTAAAGTTTAGTGTTTTGAAACCTGAGGCTCTCAACATGTGTTCACATGGTAAAAAATGACTTATGTACAGTGATTGTGCACTGACAGTTCAAGCACAAGATTTTATAGAGGAGACTAGCACCAGTTGCTCGCAGGTCTTGAAAGCAGAGAGATGCAGCACATATCAAAGGTAGAGAACTTCTGTGATAAAGGAACCTACAAGAACTCCTCAGTGAGGAAACATAAAGCCACAGCACACTGACAACCCCAAAAAATACTGGTGTCATCTTGGATAATCCCCCTTAATTTGTTGTTTCACATTTTGTTTTCCTCTCAGGATCTGAAAAGCCAAAAGTATGTGAAGCTCAGTATTGTTCACTGCCCTCCAGTCACCATGGCGATTATCAGGCGGCCAGATCCCAAGTTTCAGCTGGGCTTCAGCGTGGAGGACGGCATTGTACGTCAATATTAATATTTTTACTGTGTCACTGTTTTGTCACGTTTGAAGTCCAGTCCACCTAATGAATACTGTTGTAAAAGCTGTTGGCAGAAGTTATCTGGAGGAAAGTTGGCTGTGATTGAAGGATATCTAATTAATTGGCCAGCAGTAGAAAAAAACAGACCTTGACTGGCAGCTTACTGGTGTGAATATGTGCAACATACATAAAGGTGTTCTCATGATTGAGCCTGATGTCATCATTCCCTTTGTAAATACAGACTAAATGGACTACATTTACTATGTTAACTAAATGTGAACCTAATGCACCATGGCAGCATTCAGCCAAGTACACAAGTTCTGAAAGTTTCAATTTCATCTGCTCATTTATTTATGCTTTCATGCAAATTTAAAGCATCCCTTGGTTTTTCTTTTGCAGATCTGCAGTCTGATGCGGGGCGGTATAGCAGAGAGGGGGGGCATCCGTGTCGGGCACCGCATCATTGAAATCAACGGACAGAGTGTGGTCGCCACTCCGCATGACAAGATTATTCAGATCCTGACAAATGCTGTTGGAGAGGTGAGAGAGCAGGGAAGGCTTACATGCAAAAAGAAACATTATTTAAATTCAGCAATAGGTATTTCACTCAAAGTTTATTTTTTATATATTTGAACCTGAAAATAACATTTGTGCAGCGTAAATTATGATCCTTCCCACCCCCCTCTCTCTGGACAGATCCACGTGAAGACGATGCCAGCCTCAACATATCGACTGTTAACAGGGCAAGAACAGCCAGTGTTTCTTTGAGCACTTCCTGCTACATCAAGGACAAATACTGCACAGTGCTCTGCTACATAAACTGTTGCCAAACTCAGAAAATATTATGCAATTATCATACAGCATATCATAAACTGTTGTCATACCACTGAATACAACAAAGTAATTTAGTTATATATTTTTAAGATGTAAAGAGCTTTTGAATGTTGTGAAAGGATATTTTACAATGACAGGGAAATACCTTAACTCAATTTATATTTATAAGATATTTAACAGTACAGGCAATAGCTGAGATGCAATAATGTTTAAGCACATTTTTTTTTTACTTCACTAACTGGATCAAGTATACTATACTCATATGAGTGTGCACAAAGGCACTGTGCATTTCATTTTGATGTGCTTCCAGCCCCTCATGTACATGTGCACATCACCCAGTCTCTGTCACAGGTTTCAGAGAAGGCTATTTAGTGCAGAGCTCTGGTTCATTCAGTTAGTGCTTCCTTGACTGTACCTGACGGAAAACAGATATCATGAACAAATGGGAATTACTGCCTTAATAGAAAGAGAGATGCTTATATTTTTGAGACTTTGCTGTTTTGGAAATTCATTAAAATAATCTTTAAGATCTCTTTTTGATGTTATTTATTGAGAGTCAATGTAATCCGGGGGTACACCCTGGACAGGTCGCCAATCCATCGCAGGGCTAACACATAGACGAACAACCACACACGCGCACATGCACTCCTATGGGCAATTTAGAGACACCAATCAACCTAAGCTGCATGTCTTTGGACTGTGGGAGTACCCGGAGAGAACCCACGCAAACACAGGAAGAACATGCAAACTCCACACAGAAGGGTCCCGGGTGGTGCCCGAACCCAGAACCTTCTCGCAGTGTAAAATGTAATTGTATGTTGCTTGTATTAATAAAATAATACCTTTTCTCTTCCTAGATTTTGTAAGAATACAGCTGTTATTATGAAAGGACCTGTAAGCAGCATGTAACGCTGCTGTCAATGACTGGCCAATCCGCTGTCGTCTGTTAACAAAACATAGATGTAAACCAATCAGATTATTTTCCGGCTTCTTTGACAACCGCCCTGAAATTTTCTAGCCAATCAGCGTCGTCTGAGGGCGAAACTGCACCTCCCGATACAAACATTCGGGAAATGGTGAGTCAATGACAAGCTGCCGACCGTTTATCGCATGGTATATAGTGCGACTTTACAACCTGTCAAAAAGGTAGTCGTTAACTGCAGTTTAACGAGTATTTGGAGCACTTTAATCATTTAGTTATCCTGTTTAAAGGAACCTATTTATTCACTGACAGTATCACTGTGTAACATGCTAGAAATGTCTTGATGTAGCTTTACCACTAGCTGGTTAGCCAAATTTCCTTTAATTATCTTACTGTTATAGTTAGTTATTTATCGTTAATTATTTGATTAATCAATTTTTCAATTGTCAGACGGTGAAATAAATTGGTAATAATAGCATTTAAGCAGTCTTTTGATTTTATTTTTCGTTTGACGAAGTTGCGTCCCAAATGCAGATATGCCTTAATATTTTTCAAGCTGTGTTAAATTATTACAAGTGTAAGATGTAAAATAGAGTAACTTACCACATTACTTGACAGAGATATTGAAATACATTGAAAGTTTAACCTGTGTTTTCCATCTGTAAACCTAAGGCTCTGAAAAGTAGGAAGAAGAAGAACGGAGTGAAGTTAAATGGTTAAAACAGGGAAAATTAAATGTCAAAGAAAATACAGTGGTTACAAAAACTAGAAGCGTAGGCTAAATAAATGCACATATATAGTTTTCAGGTCGACAGTAGCTGTGGTTGATTTCCAAAGGAAATGAACCATAGTTAGCCTGGCACAAATCATGATCCAGACCCTCAGATTATTTACTACAACACAGACACTAGTAAGATGCCTCAGTCTAAAGGCATTCACAGAGCAAAAGTGAATGCTAAGTCTCAAGAGTGGTACAAGTAAGCTGTTGGCATCAGGAGGATTTCAGGATAAAGCAGAGGCTTGTCTGTCTTGAGCAGATCACCGTAAGCACCAAAGATAAATATAAAAAGAGCCTGTTGGATCTCTGGTATAGAGGAGGTTTACATTTCTTCAGTGTATTATTGTTAAAGGAAAGGGCATGAAATAGATTTTTTTATTTAATGTGAGAAAAGTTGCCATTTCTAAACATTACTTTGTATATGTTGGTATGCACTACATACAGTATGTATGCCCCTTGAATATTTTCTTACCACATTTTGTGTTTTTCAGGATCACATCATGGCAGGTACCTGTTGAGAGCTATGAATATTTTTAGGCAGATCGTCCTCCTGCTCTGGAAGAACATCACATATCGCAGGAGGAACAAGGTGGGCATGTTTTCAGTTCACAGAAATATAAAAAATAGTTTCTTGATTCAGTAAGGACAAATATGAGAGACACAGCATGGATATTAAATGAGCACATTGTTTTTACAGCCGAGTAATACTAATTGACCCATATTATCCACTCATGCAGATCCAGCTGATTATTGAGCTCCTCTGGCCGCTCT